ATGTAATGATTTCCATTACTCAGTGTTTATTGGGGTCAGACACGTCTGTGGTCTTTCATCTACGTAAGTGTAAAAGAACAAGAGCACAAAAATAGTCATATTGATTGAATTTATAGTGTTTAGTTTCAAGTTTGAGTTCAGTCTAAGTTCTTGTTTTTTTTTTTTTTTTCCTCTGTCTTATTTTAATTAAATTTTTTTTTCATTGTTGGTTTTCTGTACTCATACAGACAGACTTCCTTGGTGTTGCGTCGTCTTTTACGGTTTGTTTTTTCAGCTTCTGTAGGTTTTGGGGGTCTATCTTCTTCCTCATGGAAAAATATTAGGTAGCGCATACCTAGTTTTTCTTAGTATTACAGTGCTCACCCAGAAGTGTGTTAAATAACACATGCTCTTTTGCAAAGTTACGTTTTTCTTTAGTGAATGATTAGAAGTCGAGTCTTAGAGAAACCATTCATCTCAAGTTGACTTGTAACACTGATAACACTAATGCTTTAGAACACAAAGTAACTTGGGAAATTCCCATTTAAAATCATTCCAGTCGCTATATAAGAACATATATATCTGAAAATGTGTTTTTGAGCCACACAGATAATAAATGTGTTTGGGCATAAAAGTATTCAAAGTTTTAGGAACTAAGGACCCTTAGTACATTTAGTAACAAGTGTTTGTTACATCACTTTATCTTAATTAGTAGATACTCATTTGATGGTTGTTTGTTTGTAATAAACTGAAATTGTTTTATTCACCTCTTACCATTTATTTGTCTTATTCTTACAATTGTAAGAATAAGAGGACTTTGGACTTTTATGGTTAGATATTTTACAGTTTTTCCCTGTATATAGTACGGGAACTTACTGTTAACCTATTAACAGTTTTTTTCCGTAGCATTTTTACAAAATGTTACAGTTAAAATTACACTTATTTTTTACAGTGTATGTATATATAATAGTACATATGTGGTAAATATGTAACTAATGTAACATATGTAACACAACTTGGACTGCAAATGATTATTATTTAAAAAAAAAAAGCTTTAGGGGTGATACAAGAAACTGTTCAATCCCTGTTGTATGTAATCATGCAAGAAATGTGAAGATGTTTTTGGAAAATTTGGTATACAGACTTTTTATTTATTTTACATTTTTAATATTCTAATATTAAAGAATCAAGACCAACCATTCATGTGATCAGTTTCACTGCTTCATAATTCTTGGCCACCCCTGTAAAATATATTTTGTTCAAGAGGTCTGACCCCAGCGATTGAGGGTTTGTCCAGAGAGACTTCGGTTTGATGTTTTTATGAATTCCACCCCGCAGGCCAGTTCCAGGTGACAGTGCAGAGCACAGATGCGTCTCAAAGGTGCAGGATCTCTGGGTCTTACCTGCTGTCTTCTGAGAAAGAGGCTATTTGTCTGCTGAATCTTAAGACCGGGCAGGCCATCTACCATTGGCCCTACAGGCTCCTCAGGAGATTTGGCCAAGTCAAGGTGCTTCACGAGGAATAAAAATATGCAGCCGTCTTACACACACACATATACACACACACACATATACACACACACAAACACATATACACACACACATACATACATACATATTAATAATATATTAATATATTTGAAAAAGTTACATTTATTCCTGTGATGGCAAAGCTAAATTTTCAGCATCATTACTCCAGTCTTCAGTGTCACATGATCCTTCAAAAATCATTCTAATATGCTGATTTACTGCTCAAGAAACGTTTCTTATTATTATTATCAGTGTTGAAAACAGTCGTTCTGCTTAATATGTTTGTGGAAACCGTGATGTTTTGATGAATAGAAAGTAAAAAAAAAAAATAATAAATTTATTTGAAAAGGAACATTTTTGTAACAGTATAAATGTCTTTACTGTTACTTTTGATCAGTTTAATACATCCTTGCTGAATAAAAGTATTAATAATAAAAAAAAAAAAACATTTTCATGCTGACCCCAAATGTTTCAATGGTAGTGTATATATATTTGTAGTAAAATTCTATTTTGAATTATGGATTATGGCACATGTAGGATTTAAAAAAAAATTTTTTTTTCTTGCTTCAGTCTTTTGAATATTAGTTCACATTTGCTCTATTTATTCAATATTTATTGTTTTTTCAGGGGGGAATTATGATTGAGGCAGGTCGTCGCTGTCACACTGGGGAGGGTCAGTTCATTTTCTTGTCAAAACAGGGGTCACAAATAAAGAGGGCCATTGAAGATGCCATCATGCACCAGAGTGTCCAAGAACTGCTGGCACAAGCCACCGCTCTTCCACAACAGTTCGTGTCCCAGCCCCCCTCGCCTAAAAGCAAACCACAGGACAGGCCTAAGGTGAAAAATCTTCCTCCAATCAGCGTGAATCAAGATCGACCGCGCCCAGCATTACAATGCAAACACGGGCAGCAAATACACAAAGCCATAGAGGAGGCACTCGTGCACAAGAGTCTCCAAGAGCTGCTGCCACCATCCACACCCCTTCCACAAGCCATTCCACCCCCACCACCTTTACCAAAACCCAAAACACAGGGCAGGGACAAAACTAAGGTCAATATGAAACTTCAAGGCAACAAGAATCAAGAAAGACCTTGCCCACCTGCACTGAAAAAACCTGGGCAGCCAATACACAAGGTCATTGAAGGGGTTCTCACACACCAGAATGTCCAAAAGGCACCATCCACTCCTTCTCAACAAACCCCTCCACCACCACCACCCTTGCCTAAAACCAAACCACAGGACAGGCCTATGGTTAAAAAGCTACCTCCGGTCAATATAAATCAAAATAGACCCTGTCCAACAGTACCACGCAGATACATCTCCTTACCAGATCCACCACCTTTCGTCAAAAGCCCTGTAAGTAGCCCGGATGATGTTTTATATACAGTGATATTTCCACAACCAAAACCAAGATCAAAAATGAATCTCCCAAAAGTTCCAATGCCTCCGGGTCTATCACCAAACACGGATACAGATGTAACCATGGATAAAGAGAAGGAGTGGAGATCACCACAAGAAACTTCTAAGGACAACTATGAAGAGGCTCCCTACACTAACTGGTCGGCGAAGACCACTGCCGAGCAGGATCAACCGAATATTGAGGACCTATATAGCACAGTGAATTTCGCAGCTAAACGTAAGAACAGACAGCCTGAGGGCAGTGATGATCAAGAGCAGCCTAACACTGAGCAACACACTCCTGTTATCACTTCCAGTGAAATCCCTGTCAACTTCAAACAGACCCTTTCTAACATTCTGTTTAAAGATCCGTCCAAAATTCCACCCCCATTTCCGCCCAGGTCACGTGGGGGAAGTTCTGATCAGTTAGACCGAATAGATGAGCAGATGACTGATTGAGGTTTCTATTGTCTGCAGTTGAGGTCAGTGTCACTGCTTGCCTGATTAATGTGAGTGATATCTGTTATAACAGTAAGTTTAACATGAATAATAGATACGTTTTAACATGAACTTTTAACAATAATGCACAGAATATGTACTGAGATTATTAAATATAAGGAAAGTGTATGCTTTGAATGTTTATGTAAATGATCTTTATTGAACATGTCTTTGTAAGATATATTGTAAAAGTGTGTATATTTAACCAATATATCACAAGTCATTTAAAATAGTTTGGTTGTGATTTGGTCTCTGGCATGACAGTACTGTTTCGTTGACTGTCTTTTAACAAATCCTTTAAGTTAAGGTAAATGAATAGTTCATCCTAAAAGTTGCTAGTCCCCATTGACTTTCATAGTATTTTTTCCATACTGGGGATCAGCCACTGTATGGTTACCCACATTCTTAAAAAAAAAAAAAAAACTTATTTTATGTTCAACAAAAAAAGGAACTCATACAGCTTTGGAACTTGAGGGTGAGTAAATTATGACAGCATTTTCATTTTTAGATTAACTATTCCTTTAACTTTTTTTATTCAGTGCAATCCCATTTGAAGCTCTTTCCTGCCTTCAAACCCTGACTACAGCAAGAGCCAATAGCATTTGAGTGCGGACCCTGAATGAGCATTTTATTGGTTAGACTACTTAACGAACATGCCCCTTTGCTGAACTGGACTCCAAGCGGAATTGAACTCATTCGTGAACAAACTGATTGAATGAAACATGTCATATGTCTATGGTGAAGAGGATCTGCTGACCGACTGAACAAGAGTAATATGAGTCAGTCTAGTTCAAAACAATTTAAGAATTGTAAATATTTAGACTATTGTTGCTTTCAACAAAAGTCATACTTCCTTGCCATACAAAAAGGAGAAAAAACTATGATTTTGCTTTGTTTTCGTTTGTGGAGAACTCGTGTGATGTAAACACGCGTTCTGTGAACGTTTTAAATAATGACTTGTTTCAGTCGTGACTCCTTTGAGCGAATCGGTTGAGTAAATGATAAATGACTCACACAGCACACAAAAATACACTTTCTTTGTCGCCGCCACCTGGCCTAACTATGTATTCTGAAGAAATAACAGAATACATCTTTTAGGTAAACTGTTTCAAAAGATAGTAGTGCTGGTTAATTATTGGAATATGATACAATTACTGAATAAAAAAAAAAAATTGTGCTGTTAAGTTAAATAACTGCACCAAACATTTAAGCAACTGTTATAATGAATGTATGAATCGAAGCAATTCGAATAAATATATGAAAAGAAAATCTTTATTAAACTTTTGAGGCAATAAAAAATCACAAAGATACATAACATTTTTGTCATTACTGATGGAGGTTTTGTACATGTGAAGTGGAAAAATCCAAATGTAGGTCTTAAAGTGCAACTAAAGGGCTTATGGATGTTTTCTTTTTTTTTTCTTCCCTTTCTTGTGAGTTTTCTGATATTTTGTCAATCAAGTAATGAAGCATTGTCTAGAACTAACCATAATCCACGGGGCCTATCTATTTGGTTCTTTCAGTGTCTACTAAAACACAGACAAATAAATTATGATTAATCGGAGTGCCACAGTCTCAATATCAATCCACCATCAGCGTCCACCAGACTGTCCTTCTTCGATGTCGCTGAAATGGGACGATTCGCCATCACTCGCATTGGACGTGACATTATTTTTCTCGGAAACAAAATTAGAAGGTGCGTCCATTGCATAAGGGATGCTGGTCCTCAAAGTCTGAGACGAACTCCTCTGTCCGAGGTTACCATGGTTACCAGACGCGCCGCATCCGTCCTGCAGACCTCTGCACTCCGACTGCACTCCACCTTCCAACAACTCGGACAGTTCTGTGATGTAAATCTGCGCCAACTGAAGGGTGTCATATTTAGACAGTTTTTTCTCGTTCTCCAAGGAAGGAATGACGCTCCTCAGTTTGTCAAATGCCCGGTTCAGTCCGTGCATCCGCCGCCTTTCTCTCGAATTAGCGGCCACACGTCTGTGTCTTTGAGGGCCGGTGAGATTTTGCTTGGTCCCACCGTGTGCTTTAGATCCTCCCAGATCAGATTCCGCTGTCAAAGGACTGCTGACTCCAGACATGTACTTGTCCATGGCGGCATCGACCGACGTGTGGTAGTGGTCACCAGCGGGTGAGTACGCGGGGGTCGCGGAGGTCATCCAGGCCCGTGGGTCACTGCGGGTCAACCTCGGATGTTCAGTGAGGGTAAACTCCTCCGGTCGTTCGCGAAATTTTCCATCTGACCAGTGCAAAAGCTTGGCTTTTGCTGTCATTGCTGGTATAATGTGCTAAAAATAAAGTATGGAGAACGCTGAACTCGATCTGACTGTCTTGGGTGGGCCCTTTACCTTCAGACAGGATCCTTGTCGGCCTTATAGTGGCATCACCGCCTCTCACTCCTCCCCCAGTGCCCTGTTGATTGCTCACAGCCAATAGAAAATGCTCCTCAAACTTCCATAGAATAAAGAGTTGTTTTTCCCCCTCACACGTCAATTGTCCTAGAGTGATGGAAGATCTTTCCCAAAGAATGATCACAACACAGATTAGAATTTACCCAGCTGTCATTTATTTTGCACATTTACATAAATGACTGTAAATACGTGCATTTAAATAATATATATTTTAAAAATATATTCATTTGATACTTTTACAGCAGTTATGGCATATTTTGTGATGTTTATATATTACATTCATATATGAAACATAATCAGAGTTTTGAATTATTATGCATTGATTTTTAAAAGTTGGAAATAAAACCCGAATCTCAAACCTCAGAGGACTTGGTCTAACCTCCTTATCCACTTTATTCAAGATAAGCAACGGAATTGGCATCTAATAAAATCCAGCAAGAAACTTGCATAGCAGCGTCATATTTCTTCTCAAATAAACTGTAAAATCTGCAGCAATAAAACGAGCAGGTGGAGAGCAGGCCGTGAGTCGCACCTGTCGTCAGCGAAGTCCAGGAAAACTGATAAGTGTCTTCAGTCTCGTCATAAATCATTTAGCAATGAAGCAAAACGATATTTGGACAAATCATAGGTGGAGACATCTACTAAGAAACAACACACGAAACGACCATGTTAAAAGAAAATCTTATATTAGGCTATTAGCATCAGCTAACAGTCTACTAAATGTAAACTTTTAAACAAAACATCATTCAAAAAATTGCTTATGGTCTTAAAATATCTCTAAAAATCTCTAATATATACATAAAATTGATAAACAATAACAGCATTTATGTCGTGTAGATGTACATCTAACCCTGAAACTAACGGAAACTGCTCAACGCAGTGTTGCTATGGTTACCTCCTCAGGCGAAGGGGACTTCTGTTCGCGAGCGAACTCGTTATCTAACTTTGTGGTTACTGAAACTTTTAAAAATGCAGTTGAAATGTGTAAGCGGTACCCTATATTCTAATTATTTGTTTCATTAACAAAGGTTATTGTAAACGTATGCCCATTCAGTTATCCAATGTAGTAAATGCACAGAGATGCATTTAGACGCCTTTCCAAAATACTATGTCAGCAGTATGTGTGTATTATATTTTCAACAGCAAGGCTATGTATGCTTCTTGCTCAAACAACAACAACATAAATATAACGTCCAAGTCAACGTCTTTTAGACACAAGACTGTTTTGCTCAAATGAGGTGATGGAGAGAGAGAGAGAGAGAGAGAGAGAGCGAGCGTGATGACAGTGGAGGCCCCTCTGAGGCTGCTCTTCTTGAGGGTTGAATAGAGAAGCAAACTTCAGCCCAGTCAGCTGTTGTCCCCTGGCACCCGTCTCACAGTCAGAGACCGATACGAACGTCTCCCATATGCTGCGACGCGTCCAGGGATAGTTTAACTTTCACACTTTTTTTCACCCTCAACCATGACAATGTCAATCACTGAGCACTACAACATCATCGTTTTAATTTACAGGGGCCAGCTAGCTCTCCTCTTCGAGCCTCACGAGCAGTCCTTACGAAATGTAGGGAAAAAGTAATTAGGCTACTGCCAAAAATTCCATAATTAATGCCCTTTCACAGCAAGAACTTGAAATATAACTAAAAAAATAAATACAATAAATAAAGATAACTAAAGATAAAGACTACTATAAAGATAATATAATGATAGGCCTACTTCTGTTAATTAGGCTATAGTAAGCACGCGTTTATGGGGGGGGGATTTTTGATTGTCAATGTTTTTATCATTCATCAGATGGGAAAAAATCGTTCTGAAAGTGATTCCAACGATGTCGTTCTTCTGTGTCGTTATTAATATAGCCTAGCTGTGATGTGGATTTCCCTGTTCTCAAAGAATTAGAAGAAAATCAAAACTTCATATCATTATAGTTCATAATGTGAACGGCCCTTCTTTAAAGTCATAGACATTTTTATTTTTATTTTTATTATTATTATTTATTTTAAATGAGTGCACTGTTTTATGAAATAGCAAAATGCATATCATGTAGCAGCATCTACTGGTTTTAAGTTTAATTTTGATAATAAGTAGATAGATTTTGTTTAATTAATTGTTCTTTAATTTTGTTCTTTTTGGTGATAGTGGCGGAAATAACACAGCAGCTGTATTCTGGTAAAATATTTTTAAGACGGGCTATAGCTACAAAAAAAGAGTAGGCCTACATTTGCTGAACATAGAAAAAAACATCAAAACAGAAGCACAATAAAAGGTAAAACACACACACACACACACACACAGGTTTGTTTTTGTGAAAAGTGGGGACATCCCATAGGCCTAATGGTTTTTATACTGTACAGACCGTATATTCTATTGCCTACACCAACCCTACCCTTAAACCTACCCCTCACAGGAAACTTTGTGCTATTTCAGATTTTCAATACACTCCATTCTGTGTGATTAATATGCGTTTTGAAAAGTGGGGACATGGGGTAATGTCCTGAAAAGTCACCTTCTCCTTGTAATACCT